TTAAAATGCTCGGGTACAAAAGACTGTTATTAGCATTTAACCCATGCAAGAGGATTTGAAACGAGAGCATATAGGAGTGGTAAAGGAAAGGATGAGGAGAAGGATAGTGGATATCGAGACTGGAGAGTCCAGATGTAACAGCAGTACTCCATTTTAGGCCAGATCTGGATCTTGTCACGGTAGAGGATAGCACAAGGAGCCAGGTGCTTACTGGAGCCGTATAAAGAACCGACTATTTTTCCTGCGTCTTTAGCGATGGATCATATGTACGAATTCCACTTGAGGTCTAGGTTGAGTTTAAGACCAAATAGTCCCTCAAGGCCCGGGCCTGTCTGAGGAAAGATTCATTCATCTTGACTGGTGGGAGTTTAGGGTCCGACCGGCGGTGATGGAATGTATCTGCTGTGGTTTTCGAGGTATTGAATGTAACCAATCAATCTTTCTCCCACTGAGATGATAGATCGGCAGAGAGGTCAGCTGCCAATGTCTTATCCTCAAGAGTTTTAGAGGTGCGCCTGTATATCGTCTTTTCATCGACATAGATGTTTTTTTAAGTATTTCACCCCAAGCCAGGCGAGATGTCACTAACACGCAAGTGGGAGCGACAGTAAAGAGATGTGTTAGAAGAAAGGACAGGGAATACATCAAGGCATCTGGAGATGTCGATTGACATTACATTTGAATAGTTGGAGATTATAGCTATCCGGGAAACAGGAAAAGGGAAGGGAGTTCCACAGGCGAGAGGTGCGAGATACGAATCTATTAGAGTAGAAGAGACGACTACATTTAACAGTTTCAACAGTGAAAGGGTGAGAGCGGGATGCCAGCCTCGTAGGGCGCTTGAATACATGAAGTCTGGGAACCAGCGAAAGTAGCTAATCGGAGCAATTACCATGAAAGTATTTGTAAAAAAAACAGAGAGAGGCCACGGCACGTCTGTGAGAGAGCGACTGCAGACGAGATGCCAGATCAGGGTCAGTTACATTGCATATCCGTCTATGGTTCTTATCAAGAACCCCGATGCAAAGAGAAGAGACTTCAGACCATATATGGCAGCAATACTCCATGCAAGGGCGAATGGTTGATTTGTACATTTGAAGGATCGATTCTAGGGAGAAAAATTTCCTGGCGCGGCACAGGGAGCCAACTTTCCTTGCAGTGGACAAAGCAATTGACTCAATGTATTTGTTCCATCTTAGGTCAGCTGACAAGGTGAGACCGAGCAACGGCAGAGAGGTGCTCTCGAGAAGTTGAGCGCCAGACATTGTAATGGGGGTAGGGAAGGATCTCTGTGGTGATTAATAGAGAGCAGTTTTGTTTTTGAGGCGTTAAAGTTAACCAGTCAATTCCTGCCTCAGTTTACAGCCGATTGAAGGTTCTTTTCGAGACGAACGGCCGGGTTAGTTTTGTCAGCGACACTAGATTTGTTTTTGAGATAGGAGTAAACTGTAGTGTCGTCCGCGTAGATGCCTACTTAACAATCTGAAGAAATATTGTAGTTTTCGAACCTAAGTAATGTTGTGCTAGGCCAAAATCTTTTACACAAGCCATGGACACTGATAGAACCTCTGTGGTATCCTGAAATGACCACACTCTACACACTTCCCTTCTAAGCACTGCTAGAAGCAACGAAGTGAGCGAGAACTTTATAGCTTAGTGCGTATGTGTGACAGAGTTCAATATTAATTTATGCCAAGCAGCCTCACTCTGCCGACTTTAGCATGGCAACAGTCCTGTTACATTTTTCTCATGCATCGTACATTTCTGATAAAATTTTGATACACGAAAGAGTAAAATAAACTTTCTATTTAAATTTCCCTACAGGACGCAAATAATCATGCTTCACAACGGGTGCTATTTCTTTATTGAGTATTTTCCTAAATTTGGTGGTGGGGGGGAATTTGGTGAGCTTTCTCCCTGACACCCTATAGTTTTGAATGCAGCATTTTGAAGTACGATACAAGAATAGACAGTAGCATCAGATACAGCAGAGGGATAACCTGAAATTAGTCCCACTCACCGAATGGAGAAGCACACTGCATCCCGTTTTGCAATAATTGAAAAGATCAGCTATTTATCCAATCACAGAAGTTAATCATATTCCTGCCTGGTCACTACTTATTGTTAGAAAAGCTGATTGTGGATATCAGGAGTTTGAGTATATCCGAACGGTGTAAATGATTTCCGAAATGTGGAATAGCAGTGCCGAGTATGTTACATTCACTTACTCTTAGGCGGAAATATACTTTGGAAAGTTATGAATCCACCTCTTATCCTCAAACAATGGGTTAAATGGTAGAACTTGTATTTATAAAGTCATTGTTACAAGTCAAAAATCTCTCAACTGTTCCTGGGCTATCATGAAAGAGCAAGACTCATTAAACGACATGACAATACTTAATGAACCCTGGTCGGTTTAATTTATTTTGTTTTACGGCTTATCAACCTCAATGGGTTATTTAATGCCGACAACATTTTTTGTTGCTGGTAATATTTTATTTTGTCAAAAATCTATTTTTGGTAATATTTTTCTTTCAAAATTGTATTGCTGGTAATATTATTTTTCAAAAAAGTATTGCTGGTAATAGTTACCTATTTGCCCATAGCTGGGACTCTAAAAGGTGCTACCACCCCGGGCCAGGTTAGACCTGGGAACACCAGCAATTAAGAGGTGGTTCCACGCTCCTCAAACCCCCCTGATCAGGGACCTTGCTGCTGGATGTAGTTTATCGTCTTACCCAGGACGCGGATGTAGTTTAACGTCTTACCCAGGACGCGGATGTAGTTTATCGTCTTACCCAGGACGAGAACCCTGGCTGGAATTAAGTCCTGATATTTCTCATTTTTCAGTAGTAGTGTGCTCTAGGATGATGATATATATATTTTTTATTTTTTACAGCGATATTCACCCTGTGCAAGGAGCGGGGGAACACTCCAGGTGGAGGGTTACAAACTTGATGCTGATATGAGGAAGAGAACGATTAACCCTAGACCCGAACAGGTTAAGTTTTTAGTGATCGAGAAAACATCATCTTGGGAGTCAATTCCACACAGCAGTGGTTTGTACGAAGAAACTGATCGAGTGATAATTAGTTCTATCTACTGGAATATGGAGGTTAGCTAAGAGATAGGATAAATCTAATGGTGTTTCGTAAGAAGGCGCGTAGCGTTACAGGTCCTAGCCGTAAAAGGTTAGAACTTTTGGGACCAGTGTAGTTCGTCTGGGCACTTTCCATGGAAGTAGCGGTAGAACAGGGAGAGGCTTGCGACATCTCGACTGTGAGAGATGGGTTTGCAGGGCGCAAAATAATGTGTCACACACAAGGACTATGAGATGCTTTTCTGGAAAGTAAGGACTGAGAATCTCCTACCCAAATGGTCCTTCATTTTAGGCATCAATTGGCTCATCTAAATGTAGAGGTTTGCAGGTGGAGTCAGGTACTTACAGGGGTGGTACAGGGCACCAACTATTTTTTCTGTATTTTTAACGATGTATCGTACGAGTACCACTTTAAGCCCAATGGCCGCTGAAAACAGGGAGCCTCCCTTAGGGCATATCCCTTCATCGTGACAGGTGGTAGTTCAGAAATAAACATAATTTTTAATATTGATTTTCAAAGCTTTCTGTTGTAGTAGACGCCTACGTACACCACGCCCACAAATTACTCAACAGTAATTCGACGGAAAATAAACAATACCTTTTGTACAGACAATTTACGCATCGCACGAGCCATATAAAAATTTCTCGTGTTTTTGCTACACCAAACTATCTATAGAAAAAAAAACAACGATTGGTCGATTTTTGGCCAATCACATTAAATGACACTTTCTTCAATATCCTTCCCGCGCTCGTTCTGGGAGCCACCTTCCATCTATAAAAAGTAGAAATTAAAGAAATAACTTCAGTAAATTATAAATTTTCAAAACCTAAACCACGTACGTGTATATTCAATTTTCTACTCAAAAAACACACACAGATATAAACTGCACTCACACAACACAGTGTACTCTCTGTTTACAAGTCAAGTCAGTTATTCGAACTATATCATTCTTCTGAACAAATATTTCAATTTTCAAACTCTAACATTCTTAAACTACCAACAAACTTAAACAAAAGACATTATTACAACATACATATGTTCTTCACACAATACAAGGGAAACTACTTCGTGGGACTTAATCTTGATTGTTATTAACAGAATTATATGTATATGCTTGTTTTAAATACATGTTTACTTGTTGATTTTTATTGATCTCTCGTCATTCATTCTTGTGCTTTCTTTACAAATTTAAAGTGGAGTGTTAATGTAAAAACGCAACCTTGATCAAAGACCCTTCTGATTCTTTTCTAATCAACACCATGAACTACCCCACAACTGTCCTTTCCACTTTCTAAAAAATGCATTTGGCAATTATTTTACGATAGAAACCAACTGCAAAAGTTTGCTATAGAAAATACTTTGCTATAGAATCTATTAAAAATCTGGAAGAATTATTTTCAGTGTTCAGGAAATAAGGCAAGCATCTCTAACAAAATTCGGGTTATTATATATAACATCTATACGCATATTTGTAAGATGTGTGTATATATTACGCATTTTTGAGGAAAGTTTGATATATCGAAATGATTTCCCCGTGGGCTAAGTGATAGGATAAATCTAAGTTTAAAATCAATTACTTTTATACTAAATTCAAGTCAAACCAATCACTTGGTGAGATCATCGATAATTGAACATTGAGATCGGTTGGGAAGCAGCAGCTACATTTGCAGTCTTGGAGCCCTTCTGGGTTGCCTGCCGGCTATTTTCACCGAACACTATCCCTATTCGATCAAATGCAATTAATTGCCGATTGATTTCTATTTCGAACTAATAAACACGAATAAATAACTTTGACTGACAATTTCTGATAGGTCACCATGTTGTAGTCCGTCCGTTCTTACCTTGATCACATCTGACTTGTTTTAGGTTTGTTCAGAGTTCCTAATTTATTTCATTTACATACGGAAAACGAAGGGAAGAATAGGGAAGGGTATCCGATTGGATACGCGGATAGGGAAGAAGAGGCAAGAATATACACTTCGAAGCGCGGATAGGGAAGGGTATCCGATTGGGCACGCGGATAGGGAAGAATAGACAAGAATATACACTTCGATACGCGGATAGGGAAGAATATAGAAAGGTATCCACTTGGATGCGCGGATAGGGAAGAATAGGGAAGAGTATCCGATTGGGCACGCGGATAAGGAAGAATAGGCAAGGGTATCATCTTGGATACGCGGATAGGGAAGAATAAACAAGGGTATCTTCTTGGATACGCGGATAGGGAAGAATAGGCAAGAATATACACTTCGATGCGCGGATAGGGAAGAATATGGAAAGGTATCCATCCACTTGAATACGCGGATAGCGAAGAATAGAGAAGTGTATCCGCTTGAATTCGCAGATAGGGAAGAATAGGCAAGGGTATCCACTTGGATGCGTGGATAGGGAAGAATAGGGAAGGTTATCCACTTGGATACGCGGATAGGGAAGAATATGGAAGGTTATCCACTTGGATACGCGGATAGGGAAGAATAGACAAGGTTATCCCCTTGGATACGCGGATAAGGAAGAATAGGGAACGGTATCCGCTTGGATGTGCAGATAGGGAAGAATAAGCAAGGGTATCCGCTTGGATACGCGGATAGGGAAGAATAGGGAAGGTTATCCGCTTGGGTGCGCGGACACTGTGTCTTTTACAAGAAAACTTTATCGAATTGGACCTTCGTGCATGCAAAAAAATAATGGTCAAAAAGACGGTATTTTTTCTTGACACTGATATTATTTTAAATTTTTTCACTGCCTCGGGAATTTTTACTGGTTTAAAAAATCGAGGATTAGAATTTTAATGAAACCTAGATATATGATGAAAGTGAATTTATACATTTTTTTGTTCTCGAAAATAAGTTTAGAAACTGAATTAGTAGTTAGATCTCTTCATTCTTCCGTTGGAATTGTAAACCGCATGTGCTATACTAGGGGTTTCTTCTTTCGTAGTTCAAACCCGTGAACACTATTCCAAGCTTCTTGCTTTATTGTCAGATACGATCTTCAGATATTTAAACGTGACGTAAATCATTGTTTCCTGTATCCTTGAATCTTGCTTTAAGATACTCGGTTTTCGAAAGCAGCTTCCTTTCAATTTAATTTACTCTTGATAACCCTTAGCATCTTATTAGCTTTACCCCTTTATTGGGTCGAAACCATATATATATATATATATATATATATATATATATATATATATATATTAAAGACATTTTTATGTTTAACGTTCTTTTTATAGATACAAGTATTAAAGTAAATGCTCTGTTTATAATAAACAGTATTAAATAACATTTACCGGCCTGAATGTCCGAAAATTTTCATAGAAAATATTCGTCCTTTGACAGGATTCGAACTTGCATCCTATACGGAACTGTCATTTACGCTGACGTGCCTAACCTCTCGGATCGTTCGGTTGGCAAGGTCGAATTTATATATATATGTCTGTGTGTGTGCGTGTGCGTGTGTGTGTGTGTAGAGAGATAGATAGATAGAGAGAGAGAGAAAGAGAGAGAGAGAGAGAGAGAGAAATATATAAACAGACATAGATAGATAGATAGATTGTGTAAATTTTAGCGCTTTTTTCATTGAGGCATGTTTCATTGAATCTTCTTATTTTCAATTGGATCTTTTCATATTCACAGACAAGCTTTTGGGTGTTATTATTAAAGGAAGAGAGAAAATTGCCGTGTCGAGATATATATATATATATATATATATATATATATATATATATATATATATATATATATATATATATTTTATTTATTTTGAACACTTTCGATATTTGCACAATGTCCTAATCAGGGTATTGTGTTTTTGAATTTTTTGTTTTTTGGGGTTTTTTTTTCCAAGACAAATATTGTAATGTTCATTTTCAAAGACAAAATAAGTCTGTTCATCTGAAAGTTAAAATATTTAACTTGTGAAATGAAGAACTTTAGTGCCGAGCAATGAACGCTTCAGGGGAGGTAAATAAGTTACTAGACAGTCAAGAGTTTTTGTTTTTTTTTAACTTTCAGATAAGACACCAATTTTTCTTAGAAAATTATGAACACTACAATATTTGTGTTAAAACGCACACACTGATGATGAAATTGTGCTAATGTCGAAAGTACTCAGAATAAATAATAAATAAGAAAACGGTATTTTTTTCTCTTCTTTTAATAATGACACCAAAATCTTGTCCGTGAAAAGAAAAATTTCTTTCACCTCATGACGTATTGTGTGATAGCAATAATTTCAAGAAACATTTCGGCTTGTTTTATATGTATATATTAAAGATATGTTACATTTTTCCTGTGCGAATAATATTTCAAGAAACATTTGATCTTTTTTCTAAGAGAAATTTCCGTTTCCGAGGTAAGAAAAATATGACATTCAACACATGCACAAATATATTGGAAATAATTTTAACGTAATGAACGTTCTCACGTGTAGACACATAGAAATTAAAACTAAATCAATAAGTCTTAAAGACAGGAATTTATCAAAAGAAACATTGTCAGTTCTTTTGGTCTGGAAAAATGAATAAACTTTAGATTATTTATTTTTTAATTGCACTATTTAAATGACTGAATATCGCAAAGAATAAAAGTTATATTAATTAAGCCGAATGTTTAATTAGTCGATAATCGTTTGGGAAGTCTGCTTTGGGAAAGTGATTTTCAGAAATTATCAAACATCGGTGACTTATTCAATATAGAAACTGTTTGTTATTACTCTTGAGTCTCTAGGTAAACATTAGTCCAGTTTATACTACAGTATCTGTCTATATTTCTGAGATGAGGTATTATGTACATCATTTATATTATTCGGACTATTGTCCTCATCTTTGTCGCCATATTTATTACAACGCTCCGGCCTTCTTCCGGTGATTGGAATGTCGAACTGAACCCTTTATTTCGCTCACTGGGGTAGACTGTTCTAGTTCCACGTGCCATGTTTAATGGATGTCAGTTATCAGTTATCTCCTGTTAATTTTCCTTTGAAAGTTCTCCACTGCTTTAACATAGACAAAGAACACGACTGGAAAATTCGTAAACTTAAGGAATCAGCACATATGCTAGGCCACAAAAATCTCCTGAGCCGACCAAACATAGAAATGAATACAATATGGGAACCAGTAATAAGGAGTGCCGGAGAAAAGCGATAACAACAACAAAAATTGCAATATGAGCTCTGGTAAAAAATGTTTCTGAAAACATTAGGTTTATAATACCCAGAAATCCATACACAGATGTCCTCAAGGACACATGGCACAGTGGATAAAGTTGTTGGTTAGATCAAGTGACACGACCCAAAAGAGTGTGAGTTCAATACCCAGTGGAGAACTTTCAGAGGAAAATTAACAGGAGATAACTGATAAATGACATCCATTAAACATGGCATGTGAAACAAGAACAGTCTACCCCAGTGAGCGAAATAAAGGGTTCAGTTCGACATTCCAACCACATGAAGAAGGCCGGAGCGTACAACGGCCGAAACGTTGTAATAAATATGACGACAAAGATGAGGGCAATTGACACAAGATAAACTGCACGTTATTTACATTATTCGGACTATAGATAAATTCTGATCGTGATTCGACTTGAATCAATAGGTGAACCCTGGTCAAATTTCCACTTGAATTTATAAGCACTTCCCTTGTTTGTATTTGAGTTTATCGTAAAAATTGGTTGTGTTTACACCAGTGTCTTTGAATTATTATTAGACGGGTTTATACATGAGCATATAGATAAGGATTTGTCGGATTTATACTTGAGACTGTCGTTCACGTTGATCAGATTTATACATGCGGCGGTAGGTAAGAATTTTCCAGGTTTGCACGTGAAGTTGTCGGTAAAAATTGTTCCGGTTCATATTGTATATAGGCAAAGATTGCTCATGTTTCTGCTTGAGTCTGTAGATAAGAACTGGGCAGATTTATACTTGAGTCTATATGTAAGCACTTTACTTTATAGATAAGCATTGACAGGATTTATACTTTATTGTATGGGTGCACATTGATTGGTTTCCTACTTGAGTCTATATGTAATGAGTGGCGTGCACCTAGAAATTAGTTCCTTTATCTACATGCAGAGGATAGAGTTAACTTACTATAGACTACGGCAATAGAGTAAATTCTACAACGATAGCTAATACCTAATTCTATTAACAGCCAATCCTTCGGTCAACACAGGAGTTGTCAAGGGATCACTTCTCGGACCAACACTCTTTTTGATTTACATAAAAGATCTGCCTGAGAATATACCCAAATCATTTGTGAACATCTATGCCGGTGATACGACGATACACATGTGCATTTTTAAAGTTCAGGGATTGGCAGCTGATCTAGGTCTATCATCTCAGTGCTAGAAAGACTTGGCTTGGTTGCCTCGAAAACCAAACTGGTTGCATTCGATCATCGCCGATCGGATTCCGAACTACCGCCAGTCACGATGAATGGATGTTCACTTGGTGAGGCTCTATGGCTTGAGAAAATATTGTGTCTCAAATTCACACCTGACCTCAAGTGGGACTCGTACATACGATCCATAGCTAAAGATTTACATCAAATAGCTGGCTCCCTGTGTCGGTTTACTAAGTAACTGAGTCCTCATGTTATTCGCTCCGTTTACAAGAGCCAGATCAAGTTGGAAATGGATCACTGTTGTCAGATTTTGGTGGGAGCCGCCCAATCCTCACTTACCAGTCTTGATAGAGTTCAAAAGCGTCTCCGAGTCCTTGTGGGTGACGAATTATTTTCCACCATCCAACCACTCTCAAAATAGATCCCTGAAGATAGTTATTAACTGTCAGTTCTCCGAGGCCCTGGCGGTCAACACAGGCGTCTCCATGGGGTCTCTTCTCGGAACTACCCTCTTTTTGATTTACATAAATGATCTACCTATGAATATACTCAGATTATTTGTAAACATCTACAAATACTTTCACGGTAACTGCACCGACGAGCTACTTTCGCTAGTTCCCAGATTGCAGGAATTTAAATGTGCTACTAGGCTAGCATCTCAGTGCCACCCTTTCACTGTCGAAACGGTTAAATGTAGCCGTCTCTTCTACTCCAATATCTTCATGTCTCGCACCTCCTGTCTGTGGAATTCCCTTCCTATTACTTGTTTCCCTGATAGCTATGATCACCAAATATTCAAATGCAATGTCAATCGACATCTCCAGATGCCTTGATCTATTCCCTGTTCTTCTCTTCATCCTTTCCTCTATCACGTCTCTTTACTCTCGCTCCCACTTGCGTGTTAGTGACATCTTGCCTGGCTTGGGGTGATATACTTAAAAAACATCTATGTCGATGAAAAGACGATATACAGGTGCACCTCTAAAACTCTTGACGATAAGACATTGGCAGCTGACCTCTCTGCCGATCTATCATCTCAGTGGGGGAAAAATTAACTGGTTACATTCAATGCCTCGAAAACCACAGCAGATACATTCCATCACCGCCGGTCGGACCCTAAACTCCCACCAGTCAAGATGAATGAATCTTCCCTCAGAAATGCCCGTGCCTTGAACGACTATTGGGCTTTGAACTCAACCTAGTGGAACTTGTACATATGATCCATTGCTAAAGACGCGGGAAAAATAGTCGATTATCTATACCGCTACAGTAAGCACCTGCCTCCTTGTACTATCCTCTACCGTGACAAG